TACGTGTCATTTATGACGAGTAGCAACAATTTATTAAATCTAAACAAACACCACTACTAAGCACTAGACTATAAATTCCAATCTTGGTGACAGATGAAGATCGCCTATTCCCCATGATCAGGTTCATTGTTTCGTGCTCCACCTCCTCACTTTCTCTTAGCCCCTGCAAATTAGAAATAATGTGAAGACCACGTCCTGTATCAAGGACCCAAAAACGATAAGATGATGAGTTATTAGATGAAATAGTGTATATACCTGCAGAAGATGGCTTCACTTGCCATCCTTGATATCTTGCAGGTACTTTGGGCAGCTTCGTTTCCAATGCCCTTTGTCATTGCAGTAAAAACATGTAGCTTCTTTGGGATCAGAGGTGGGGGGAACATCAAAACTGGATTTTCCTTTGGGTCAATTACTTGATGACCCAGCATGAGATTTTCCCTTCCAGTTTTGTTTTGGAGGACCTTTCCTCTTCTTCCCCTTTCCTTGACCAATAGCCGGAATGGGAGCACTAGCAGGATTAGGGTTTGAGTTCTTACCCCTCATTCCTGCCTCAATTGTTTGTAGTAAATTGTGCAACCGAGCCAAGGTGGTCTCATTGTTGTTCAAATGATAAGTTAGAATAAACTGATCATAACAACTTGGTAAGGGGTTCAAGACTATGTCAATAGCCAACTCCTCGTCAAAGTTCACATTAAGCCTAACAAGGCATTCCCCGTAATGTTGCATTCTCTGCACGTGGCTACAAACATATTCCCCCTCTTTCATTTTGCACGTCGTGAGGGACTTTACCACCTCGTACTTTTATTGACGAGCATGCTTATGGTACTTTTCCATAAGGTCCTTGTTCATTTCATACGACCAGTAATCCTCATAGAATCTCTGTAACTCAAAGGTCATTGTGGCGAGCATGATGCAAGCAACTTTTGTTGCATCGTCATAGTGTTTTTGATACGAGGCATATTCTTCAGGAGTGACATTGGCCTCTTCAACTTTAATGAGTTCTTTTTCGAGGATAAACTCTTTGTTCTCGAAGCGAAGTGTCATTTTGATGTTACACATCCAATCATTATAATTGGAACTATCCAATATGACTTTGGAGCAGATCGATAGCAAGGAGAAGTTATGATGGGAGGAGGATGAGGAAGCAGAAGCATCAGCCTTGGTAGACATCTATAAAAGAAAGTAGTTTTAGTTAGTTAACAATAATCCTTAATATAGAAACCCAAAATAAAATATTAAGGCTAGGATCCAACTATATAATTCACAACTTAGAAAAGGGATGTTGTAATCTAATTGTAAATTTTATAAATGTAGATAAATGACGATTTACTTATTCCACCAAAAATAATCGAAATTAAGTTAAATTCATAGATATTTTGAGATTCATTGAAACTATTCAATGACATGTTTAATCTCATATTATGCTCTTCTATTTGTGATTGGGATGCCGAGGATCACAAACAAGATGTGAATAACCATGAAAATGTGCTTGGTAACCTCAATGTCGTTTATCATCTCAATTAATGTGCTGGTAAACCACACACCCTCCATCAACAATGATAATTTATGAGATACCCATTACAACTCTTTATTAGTCCCTATTAGTGTGCTGGTCATACACGCTCCACTAACGGATTATAAAGTGTAATGTGCAATTTCATGGGTTAGCATGCAAATTCATATGTTTCCTAAAGTAACTAAGATTGAGATTTTAATAAAAGGTTTAGTTACTTTTAATAGCATTATACTTTTAATGAGAATTAGTGTCTTATCAAATCCGTTCGGCTAACGACCTCCACCATACAAGAGAGCAGTGGGTAAGAGTGTATACCCAATGACAGTCATTTTATAGGCCGTTTCCTTAAAATCCCCTTATAGTATGGCTTCGTGAATGAGGCATACTAGCGATTTGACTGACTTTAGTCTTATACATATAGTAACAATTAAGATTTTAATTGTACATATAGTATAAGGTGTATTTTAAACTTTTGAAAATACCACGGTTTATATTTTAAATTTCAAAATTAATATTCAATAAATTAATTTTTTTTAAATAATGATTTAATTATCATATTTTAATTCACAATTAATTAAATAATTAAATCAAACAAGGATTATCTAATTAAATAAATCAAATAAATTAATCCTAATCCTTACTTATCCAAATTTTATAATTATCCTTTTCAATCAAATTAAACTAATAATTATCTAAAATATGGAAACCCTAACAATCTACTATTTTCGAATTTTCTTGGGGAGGAAGGTTAGGGTTTTAAAACCCTAGCCCTAAATTTCGAAATCCAAGGGGTGGAGGCTAGGGTTTCTAAAACCCTAGCCCTAGTCGAAATTATGACCTTTTAGGGTTTAATTTCTATAAACCCTAATTGATCTATTCTTCTATTATAGCTATTCAACAGAAAACAAACCAAACGCTCCGATACCACTGATGAGATTTAGGTAAACAAACAAAAATAAAACCCTTAAGTTTGCATGCAACCTAAATAGGATCTATGTTTTCTCTATTGAACCTATAACTAAGAACATCAAAAAGAACCCTAGAAACCCTAGGATATTTTAGAAAAATAGAGGAGAGGGTTTTAGGATTACATATCTTTTAGTTGTTATAGCAAACAATTATATTTCTCCTTTATTGATCTCTTGGAAGCAAGCACCACAAGTGTCGTGCCTCTAATAGAATCACACCCAAGCTAGCAAGATGGTAGTATAAGAGAGAAAATAGGAGAGGTAATTTCCGTCCAAGCCTTTGGAGTGGGAAGTATATCTGAAATATGGGACCAAAGGGTTCTTTATATAGTTGAGGAAACTTGGTGCTAAAGCTAGGGTTTAAGGGATAAGCCCTAGATAACCTAACTTGGTGACCAAGCAGCCCAATCCCTTTATCAAAGGGCCTTGGACGAAATCTTCTAGGCTTGCCCTATAAATTTCGTCCACCTCATTCCATGAGGTTCTAAAGCCTTCCTTCATCAACTTTCAATAAAGAACCAAACAGTCCTTGTACATTTAAATAATCTAATTAATCTCAATTAATTTATGATTAATTATTAATTAAATAATATGATTTTTAATTAATATATTATTTTCATAACACATTAATAAACCATTTATTTAATTTATTATTCACATAATAAATTAATATCTCTCTCTCTAAAAGTCATACTGTCCAATTGCTAAGTTCGAGGGCAACCCAAAAGGACTGTGCTACTATCAATTCAATTATATATCAATTTTAGTTATGGCTTAGACACCTAATCCAACATAATCATCATCAAATATTATCATAATACTCAACCAAATCATTTACAAACATGTCCAATTCGTCATATGTACCGTCAAACAAATCGTCGTAAAAACCGTCGACAACATGATTTACTTGAATATTGAAGACATGTTCCACCAAATCAACACAAAGGTTGTGGTGCCAAACTCAGTCGTATACTTCCCCTCTATTCTCCATGTATTCCAATCAGGGTCGGCCCAAGCCCAGGGCGAGTTGGGTCATGGCCCAGGGCAACAATTCTTAAAGGGCCATCATATTTTAAAGGTATGTTATGAGTATTATGCTATTTGGGCCAAAACTCTTGATTAACCACAACTAAAACTAAAGGTCCGGTCCACAGGGGAAGTGCGCCTAAATGATCCGAGACCAAATTAGCCAATTAGGCGGCAGTTGCAAATTAATTTACGCTTCTGACTTCTTGTTCTCTTAAACATCACGTCTAAAATGTTGAAGAAGACGAGGCGTCTGAGCATTGAATTGGGGAAGACCACTCAAATAAGTTCTATTTGATGTCAAATTTTATACTTACGAAAGTTATTGGTAATCGTACGTTTCTTTCCTTCCTTTTCAAAAATCTTATTGCGAATTTGTAATTGAATCAGTCCTTCGTCTCTTATTTTCTTGAAAATATGATAGTTTTCTCCTAAAGTCATCGACATTTCTCGCATAAAGTGAATGGTAAAGTTTCAAATGGTTGAACTGCTGAAGTTTTCTCCTAAAGTCCATGGTTAGTTTATGATTTCTCACATAACCAATGTTATCTGCTGAAGATTCGAGAATATGATAGTAATTAAATTTTCTAAAAGTTTAGATTTATAATATAAGTTTAACTATTAGGGTAGTTGTCCGGCCAGGGCTGGCATTTGATGGTTGAGGCAATATCCTTATAGACTTGTCATATGATGCAAAAACAACCTCTGAAGCATAGGTGCACATTCAAGTATGTGCCACCAACAGGCAAACTAATGGTAGTATTACTTATGAAATAAACTACATTGTCTTTATACACACCCTTTCTTTAGACTGTTATAATGATGGCTCCCATGTTTTTTTATACATCCTCTTGAATTTTGTATTTCATGTCAAAATAAAATTAACCGGATGCAATCAACAAATAGAATTAAACATGGTTCATACATTCTAATGTTTCAGGCTTTTAGATGAGTAAATACTTCATAGATCTTTACTTTAATTGTTTTGTCATTTAAGATTCATTACTTTCTGTTCAGGACATGGAGCATTTTGCATTTGTTCAACACAACAAGGAACAAAACTTCTTATTTCTGGATTAGAACCAAAATTTTCAGATATGAACAAGATTTTTTTTTCAGTGTGTGACGAATAGCAACAAAAGCCAACAGTTTATTTATAGAGCGAGAAAGAAAACAGAAGTTTTGAACAAAAGTATTTCAAGTAGTACAAATTTTTTTGTGAAGTTCTAAGTATAAGATTAAAAAAATGTATTTTAGTAATTTCTTTTCAAGTGTTTTCTTAGTTTTCATAGGAATTCAGTCTTATAAACTGTGTGTGAAGTAGAAGCTCCTTATTTCTTATGTTTTATACGGGTTTAATTTAAATACATGGGCATGATTGTATCAATGTTTTATACGGGTTTAATTTAAATACATGGGCATGATTGTATCAATGTTTTATACGGGTTTATTTAAATACATGGGCATGATTAAGCTTTCTCGCCCGGGGCATGAAAATCCTATGGACCGGCCCTGATTCCAATGTACCAATACCCACCCTTTCGAATGTTGGTAAATTCTCATTTTCATTGCAGTGTCAAATTGTCTTTCCCCAATCTTCTATAAATATATTATGCAATATGATGAATGCGTACATCATATTACTTATTCTTCTTCGCTCGAATGATCATGTCGATACTGAGAGTATCTGCCAACGTCTTTTAGAACACCAAAGGTTCGCTCAATATACTTCCTAGCTAGTTCTTGGGCGACTTAAACTTGAATCTCTTTTCATTGTTTGGACATGAGAATGATTTCACAAATGTAGTTAAGTCGGGATATATCCAATCCATAAGGTAATATCCACACTTGTATGACGTCCTATTTGTTTGGAACGACACATCATACGATTTCCCAATGTAGATAGCGTTGAATATTGACAATTAGTCTAGAACATTGATGTTGTTATTGGCACCCGATGGACCAAAAAATGCATGTCATATCCAAGGATCATACGACGCCATTGCTTTTGATCACCTCACATAAATCGGCCGCACCATGCATTAGGGCACATTGACACCCTCAATGATACAATAAATACTACCAAGCATTGCATGAAACCCATGTTTGTTTTCATGTGTCGTATACAGTTTGTTGATGTCGCTAATTGTAGGCTTGCGTAAATAATGACAACGATAGTGGATAATCACAACTTTAGCAAACTTGTATGGACATTCCCGTGTCGTTTAATTTGACATCCTCAAATACTCATCCCATAAGTCTAGCCCCATGTAGAATGATAGTGGACGAATTGCAACTGTACATTTTTGAATTATAGATAAACCTTTATGGCCTCTTGCATCAAACCGTTACTGAAAATATGGAAATCGATTTTTCATATCATCAACAATGCGTATGAATAAATATTTTCTCATCCGGAACCGACGTATGAATTTGTCAGCGTAGACTTCATCATCGTTAAAGTAGCTATTCACAAGTTGGTTGTGCCCGACGTCACAATTTTTTTTTTCATAAAGGAGTATTTCTTATTAATGAACGCAAACTTCCTGCTTCATTTTCTTGCAGATAACACAATGTTGTTCGCATAACATCCCCGCTAAATGCCGATTCCCTCAACACCGAAGTATTCGACGAAGTGGATGACGATGAAGACATTTTTGAATTGTAATTATAAAGAATATAAATGTTTGGTATTTGTTTTGTAGTTTAAAATGTGAAGTATAAATATGTATTTATAATAGAGAAAAAAATAAAAAAAAATTAAAAAATTCCAATTTAAAAACGTTAACAAGCCAATGTTCCATAGACAGACTTCTATTGCATAGTGGCTTTACCGCACCACCCCATACTGAACAATGTCGTGTTCATTGCACTACACTCATAACATTTCACCCAGCGTCATGTGCGGTTCCTCCCGCTCCAACCGGTCTAATACATTTTGTTATATTTGAAATAGTTTTTATAATAAAACACTTTAGGGCTTAGGCCATGTGAAACATTTTACATCTAAAATTGTTATTTTTAAATGATTTTTAAACAAATTTGAATTTTGAGAGTAGCTCAATCTTTCCGTGGTGTTCCGTCCTCATTATCATCAAAATTTGAAAAGAAAAGAAAGCGGGAAATCAGGGCCTGGTTCAAACAGCGCTCTTTCGTCATAACCGCCGCCGCAGCCACCGCCACAGCCGCCATTCTGTTGTTCATCCACAGATTCTATTCATCGATCAGTTCTATATGTCAAATGGTAGCTTCTTACTTCCATTTTTGTTTTGATTGTGTATAAAATCCATCTTCGGTTGTATTTAAGACAAGGTATTGTGTAAGTTATCTGCTGACGGAGCCGTTTCTTGGCTATTTACTGTCAAATGGATTGATATCTAATAAGCCAGTTTCTCTTTTGGGATTACGTGAAATGGGCAACGATTTGAAGCTTTATCATCTGTGGCTTTTCGACTCTGGTGAAGAATTCTTTTCTAGTTGTCAGTTGACACTATCCATGTTTTTGCATTTATAATTTGAATTTTTAAGACACATTTATCGTTCTTATGCTTGTATGATTTGCATTTACTCATAAAAGTCACCTGCAAGGTGAGGTAAAGGTCAACATTTGTGTGCTTACTGTCCATATTGTCAGTTGATGTTCCAAATTTAAATTTTTATCTAATTTTGCTTTTGGATGTGATTTACAAGCAGGGGAGTTACTCATTGCTAGATGAACTTGCTAATGAGTGACCTAGGATAATAACATGAGGTAAGAAAAGTAACCCTAGTCTTTCCCCCCTTTTGTTTTTTGTTTTGAGGTTAACTTTTTTTTGTTTGTTTACTCTTTGTGGTTGATATTCAGTAGCAGAAACTGTGGTGGAGATTCCAGAGGCTTTGACAAGGCAATGAGACATAATTGGTCTCAACATGCTAAATACTTGAGCCAAGATAAGATTTTGAAATCTAACTTCTTGATCTCATTGTCAACACAAAAACTTTCTGTTGAAGAAATAAAGGCTGCAACTGCAAGGTGTGTTTTTCAGCCATGACTATGTTGTTGACTTTCTTGACTACCTACTTACGTATTGTCTCTCTTTTATCTAGTATTCTTTTAATCATAGTAGTTACAGTTATTATAGTATTTGGTTATTTAAATCCTTAATCTTTGTGGATTATTTATTATGGACAGAGTGTATACCTTTTAAAGCACTTAATCGCTCTGTTTTTTTTTTTTAATATTTCCAGCCCAAAGAGGTTCTTTAAGAAGATTGTCTGTACTCTCTAATATTCTTATAAGGTCATATCAAGTTTGAGATCCCACCATTTTTTTTCTTTGTTCCAGATCATTCTCTTGTAAAGTTCAGAATGTTACAAAGGCACACAATCCACAAGTTGAAAAGGTAACACATATTTCAAATTTTCAATGCTGCATTTTATAATTCACCATTTTTAACACGGGAAGCATTTAATGTTTCTTTCATCTCCTAGTTCTTTCATCCTTCTTGCAACATGTAAAGTTAAACCTTCTCTTTTGTTTGGATTATATGATCTTGGACTCTTTTGTTCCATTTTTTAAATATTTACTGATAAAATGGAACTTTTTATTATATGAGCTTCTGACAGGCTTGGCAAGCTCTTTCCAACCTCAAGTTGTCTTCTAGAAGTTATATAAAACCTGGTAAAAGCCGGCAAGTGGAAAAAAATGGTTATTCAGTCTCTTTTCAAGATGATAAAAGAGCTACTCAACAATGTTCCTCTGATGGGAATAACAAATTTACAGCACCTACTTGGGAAGACCAAAATTCTAATGAAAATAATGTTGAACATAGCAAACCTGATAAAACAACCAATCCTTGTGCAGCAGTTACCACTTCTGTCACTGAAACTAAAAGGGCTGAAACAATTCAGAATGGGGGTTATGAGTCAGATTCCACAAGTGCTTGTGGAAATGATATAAGTGGCATAAACAGGAATCATGCAAAAAATTGGAACCATATGCATGGGCTTCAAGAGATTGATGATGAGGAAACTTTTCAGGTAATTTGTAGTACTAATAAGATTCTAACCGAATGCTGCATTACTTCTAATTGTTATCAGATAACCTTTGAGTAGAGTAATGTTCTAAGGATGCTACGAAAAATAAACATTGAGTTTTGTATTTACATGTTATAAGTGTAATAATATATTGATCTCATCATCAGTCAATTTCAAATTGCAGAATTTGGATGTGGATCAAACACTTACAGAACACTTTCAATCATCCTGCACAATACAGCAATCAATCTCAAATTCTCCACCCTTCACCCCAGCTGCAAATAATAGTATTGTTGCATGTGAGGACATAAGTTTACCTCCAGAACTGGATGTGGACTGTGGTCATGGTTTTAAGGCATGTAATTTCAAACATTATATAAACAAATCTCCCATTATTATATGGAATGTGTCACTGTATACTCATGGTTTTAAGGCATTCAACTTCCAAAATTGTTTCAGCTAGGAACTTGCCCAGAAGCTGCAACCCATTTGCAAGATATGAAGGATATGCTTATTTCCATATCAAATGATCTCATTGACAATGATAGTGAATTGAACTCTGATGAATTGGAAAAGCTTCGTCACGATAGGTAATGTCCCATTTTTGTTTTTTTTTTAAAAAAGAATAATGAAAGTTTATGTTTGGGACCTGATATATGTTTGAATGATGTAATCGTAGGTTGCAACTAAAAAAGCAAATCCAACAGCTTAAACAGTATTGTTCTTCTATTTTGATGGATGATGAAGGATGCAAAACAAACTTTTCTGCATTTACAACTGCTAGAGATTTGAAGTATCAAACACCATTAGCATTTACCTCAAGGGTTGATCCTGTTAGACTTGATGATCAATTTTACATGCATAATAAATGGGACCCACCATCAATATCATGTTCCTCAGTGGGAAATTTTGGCATATTTTCAACTCCTGTGGAAAGGGAACTGTATGTCCGAAAGAATGTCAAAGTTAATTATATTGATGGTTCAGATGACAAGAAATGGAGCAAGAAAGATTTTTCATGGACCAAAAAGCTGGAGGTTTGTGGCATTGTCATTTATTTATTTTTCAATTTTGCATGTTTTTGAATTTAGTGGTGATAAATAATGGTTTGATGATTCTGCTCTCAGGCTAATAACAAGAAAGTGTTTGGGAATCATTCATTTCGTCCCAACCAAAGAGAAGTGATTAATGCAACAATGAGTGGAAATGATGTTTTTGTCTTAATGCCAACTGGAGGTGGAAAGAGTCTCACATATCAGGTACTACATACCATTTTTTTTAATGATTTTGGATGCTTATAGCTTTATTTAATTAAATGCTCACAAAGAAGTGTGTTTTTTATGTCCATTGTATTGAGTTTAAATGTGTCTTGTACCCTTTTCTTGCAGCTACCTGCTCTTATATGTCCAGGTGTCACATTGGTGATCTCACCTCTAGTTTCTCTAATCCAAGATCAAATAATGCATTTATTGCAGGTATGTACATGTTGATATTTCTTAACCTATGAACATTTTCACATTTATCTATTATAGTGAACATCAAATCTTGTGTTTGGATACAATAACAGGCAAATATACCTGCTGCTTATTTAAGTTCAAATATGGAGTGGACCAAACAACAAGACATTCTCAGAGATCTCTGCTCAGGGCATTGCAGTTACAAACTGTTATATGTCACCCCAGAAAAAGTAGCGAAGTAAGTGCTTATTTTTATTCTTTTAGCTATTTCTTTTATCATGTTGCTAACTTTTTAGTGACTTGATATGTGAGTGCAGAAGTGATGCTTTATTGAGACAATTAGAGAACTTGTATGCACGGGAATTGCTAGATAGAATTGTGATTGATGAAGCGCATTGTGTAAGCCAATGGGGACATGATTTCAGACCAGATTACCAGGTTATTAATTATACCATACAAATTTGTTCAAAACATTGTGGTTTTTCTAGGTTCTTATATAACATCATTGCTATGTACTATTTACAGAGTCTTGGTATTTTGAAACAAAAGTTTCCGAATATACCCCTGTTGGCATTAACTGCTACTGCCACAGCCAGTGTCAAAGAAGATGTTGTGCAGGCTCTTGGTCTTGTTGACTGTATTATTTTCAGGCAAAGTTTCAACCGTCCAAATTTAAGGTATGAGTTTAATATAAATATAATGTGATTTTCAATGTGTTGACCTATTAAACATGTCAATATTTCAGGTTTTCAGTTATGCCTAAAACGAAAAAATGTATGGAGGATATTGACACGTTCATTAAGGACAATCATTTTGATGAATGTGGAATCATTTATTGTCTTTCAAGGAATGACTGTGAGAAAGTTGCTAAAAAGTTGCAGGTTTCTTCTTTTCTGCTCTGTTGTCTTTCTCTTTGTGTATTGATAAAGTAAGTCACTTGTGATTTTTAGGGTTTATGGTGTTACTCATCTTTCAGGAATTTGGGCATAAAGCTGCATTTTACCATGCTAGTATGGATCCTAATGAACGTGCATCTGTTCAAAAAATGTGGAGTAAAGATGAGGTTAATATAATATGTGCAACTGTGGCATTTGGAATGGGTATGGAAGAATGTGATCTAGTCTTTTTATAAAAGTAATTAATAATAATGTTATAAAATATGATTGTTTCAGGTATAAATAAACCGGATGTTCGGTTTGTCATTCATCATTCTCTTCCTAAATCCATTGAAGGCTACCATCAGGTACCTTTTGTGATCACATTTCACTTTAAAAATTCTATGTATTTAGATGATATTTTATTATTATTTTTTTATAACTTTTAGATTTTTCAAAGTACAACTGAATGAAAGTATGTTGCTATTTCTTGCATCTCATGGAACACTTTGTTGTAGGAATGTGGGCGTGCAGGTAGAGATGGGCAGCATTCTTCTTGCATATTGTATTATAGTTATAGTGATTATGTAAGTCATCATCAATTTGTTGTTTCTTTTTTATACTTAATGCATAAAGAAAGAATCCCATGAAAAGAAACTTTCCCTCATTTTCATTTTATTTTCTCAAATACCTTTTAAACTGTTTTGAAGATTCGGGTCAAACATATGCTTAGTCATGGATCCATAGAGCAGAGCTCTTTTGCATCTCGCTCAACTACTTTAAATTCTGGAAGATTACTGGAAACAAATACAGAGAACCTTTTGCGCATGGTAATTAATTCTGATATTTCTTTTATTGACTTTGATATGATTTATATCATCATACAAACAGATAGTATCGAAATCTATAAAATATAACCACTTCTTATTTACCTCAGGTCAGTTACTGTGAGAACGAAGTTGATTGTCGACGTTTTCTACAACTTGTTCATTTTGGAGAAAAATTCGATCCTTTAAGCTGCAAGAAAACATGTGATAACTGTTCGAAGACGCATACTCTCGTAGACAAGGATGTTACGCAAATAGCAAAGCATCTGGTTATGATTTTATAAAATCTATTTTTCTAACATGGCGTTCGTTGTATGATTGATTATTTGCTGAAATTAAATTGTTAATTTGCAGGTTGAATTAGTGAAATCAGTCCGACAAGAATTCTCAGGAACTTATATTTTGGAAGTCTACAAGGGCTCCATGAACCAAATTGTAATTCATTCTTACTGTTTTTATAATTTATTTGTTTTATAATCTGCAACATTGTCACTTGACAAATATCAAATTTTAGGTCAAGAAGAATCAACACGATACCTTAAAGTTACATGGAGCTGGAAAAAATGTAGCAAAAGGAGAAGCATCACGTGTGCTACGTCATCTTGTTATTGAGGAGATCCTTTTAGAGGATATTAAGAAAAGTGATCTCTATGGATCTGTTTCATCAATTCTAAAAGTATGGTTTTCACTTTTCATTACTCTATTTTTTAAATTTATAGTTGTTGCGTAGTGTGTAGGTTTTTTTTAATTTTAATTGTGTTTTAGGTAAATGAAAAGAAAGCGTGCAATTTACTTGAAGGTCAGAAGACCATAATGTTAAGGTAAACATATTTTCTATTTTCTATTTTCTATTTTCTATTTTTTGTTTTTGGGATTGGTTTTGCGTTCATGGTATTATTATGCTACTTGTAGGTTTCCATCCGTTGTTAAAGTATCCAAGTCTACTGCTACTACTCCAGCAAAGGGCTTCTTAACATCATCAAAACAAACTCCATCAAGAGTAGATACTGCTGCTCCTGCTCAATCTCAACCAGAAGTAGACTCGGTATACTCTGTTAATTTTAGGGTTTAAAGATAATGCCTGATTTACATCTAACATGATGTTCCTAGGGTTTATTTCTACTTAATTAAAGCAAAACTTGGTGATCATAACAATCATTTCCTATTTCTTGTAGAATCTTTCAACCAAATTGTATGGTGCTTTGCGAGAGCTTCGAACTCTTCTTGTTAAGGAGGCAGGGGAAGGGGTGATGGCATATCATATCTTTGGGTGAGTTGTTACGAATTTGCATCCAAAATTTATTTTATTGAAATAAGATCCAATTTTGAAATATCTTTTGTTTTGTCATGTATTTAAAATTGATTTTTTTTTCTTCATGGTCTAGGAATGCTACGCTGCAGAGTATCAGCAGAAGGGTCCCTAGAACTAAAGAAGAGCTTCTTGAGATTAATGGCATTGGCAAGTAAGTAGTCCTCTGTCTTTTCTACAATTATTGTAGTCCCTTACTTTTTCTATTTAGTCCGTTATGTCAAAAAGAAACCACATTTTTGGTGGCTAATAACAATGTTAACCTAACACAGGGCTAAAGTAAGCAAGTATGGGGATAGAGTACTGGAAACCATTGAGATTACCCTCAATGAATACTATAATTCCAATATAAACCAACACATCAGCATCAATGGTGACAGTGATAGTGATAGCATCAATTCTCCAAAGAGAATAGATGCAGTAAAGAGTTATAAGGAACCAGACTCCACAAATGGTCTTGAGATTGTTGATTATCCTGATGATGATGAATCTACATGGAGGCTTTGAGCAATTCGTGTTGCTCTATTATGGTGTATTTACTAGTTGTTCTTCAGTTATTTTATAAATTATGAACACTTTTTCTTGAGCCGATCTTTGTTTAATTATTTGTTTACTCTTTTTGGCTAGAACTTTAGATGTTTGGTTATTCAAGGAAAAGATCAGTTTTAATATTCTGAAAATAGTACCAAAATAACTGATTACAAAAGCATCATCACTAAACATTTTTTTATTCATGCCCTTTACATACACGGATTTAGTAGCAAATTTACACATACCTCCTCCCTTGCACTATTTACTACCACATTTTCTACACAAATCATGTACTTAAAAATCCCACACCACTGACCATGTTTATATATGTACAAATCACAAACCAAACAACACAACTACTCACACATTCTCAACCAACTTATCATACCACGCTCCATGAACACTCCCACTCACACTTGCCATCACCCCCAACACCTTCCCAACCTCCACCACTCTATCGGTAAGAACCACCGCCGCAACCTGCCGGAGTGCCATCTCCGCCAATCTCCTCCCATGGTTGCCGCCAAGTAACACCCCTCTGGTAGCCAAATACACTGCCCTAGACACCTTCACAAACACAGAGTCATCGGCTTGTACACTTTTTCTCAACATTCTTGCCATCACCAGTCTTCTTGATTCGGCTTCTGTTAGATCATTGGACTTATCGAATTTGTCTGCCGTTTTGTTCAGAACTTGAACAATTTCTTCAAGTCCTGCGTTTTCCATTGTGTCTAGGATCTGTAAAAGCTCTGTTGAACATTTTTGTATTGTGGCTTCCATCTCTTCGGGTGTTGATATCATTTGCTCCATTACAAGTGTTTGTCGAAGAACTAGTATGCTGTAAGCATGAGTAGGAAGGATTAGGGTATAATATTGGGTCAAAAGTACACAACAGGATCAGGAGGGTAGAATGGCCATTTACCTTGTAGCAGTGACAATGATCTTCTGAAGTTGGGCCTGAACAACCCTCAGCCTGAGAAAGTTGAGCTTTAATGTTTCGGGCAACTCCTCCTGAGTCACACCATAAACATCATTCACCAGCTTCAGCAAACCGAGTCTCACTAACAAATCACGCTTCTCTCCCTTGCACTCTGAGTACTGATTATCTGAAAAATAAAATAAATTAGAAAAAAAAACAAAACACAAGATCTATAAATTGAAATGAAAAGCCTTAATCAAAATACATTACCTGCAGCATCAGCATCTGTTATAGAATTAGAAACAGAGGATGAAGTTTGCAATCCATTAGAGAAGCTTCCACCAGTTCTAAGAGCAGTAGAAGGAACAACCACCTTAGGTAAACCATCTTGCAAACTTTCAAGGGTCTGTTTGTGGTCACTCCATTCCTGATTAAAGGTTGACCCTATTGAAGAAAGCAATCTGAAAGTCAACGGAAGGTGAGTCAACGCATCGGATGGTTGACCAAATCGCTTTGCAAATGCTTTTCCTAAATACTCCAAACCAGCGGGCCCTTTTAGTAACGGTTCCATTATCTTTATACGGGCACTGCTAATTTCTTGCTTCAGCACCTACAAAACAGGAATTAAATATTTAATTTTTTTTATGAAAAGTAGATTGCTATTTTTTTGTATTGAGGTAGAAAAGATACCTGTATCTGCTCTAGTACAAAGCGTAAGCCTTTAACCAATGCTATGGCATGTGAATGGTTAGAATTGTCTTTTTGGCATATATCGGCTAGTTCTTGTAAGACTTTTTTGTGGGATTCTTTAAGATTGTTTTCATTTGCTGGAGCTGAAAGTTTCTGTAGGCTGACTAATGCAAACTCCATAATTTTCCCTAGATACTCCATGTCTAAACTTCCAGAATTCAACAACTATAAAGATGGGAAAAAAATCAATCAGAAATTTAAGATAAAGAAAACAAATTAAAAAAAGTAAAAAAAGAAACCCGAAGAACAGTCTACCTGTGAAAGAATAACAACATCAATTGTTTCAATGATTTCTTGTTTCCAACTCTGAGGAGCCATCTCACAAAGTTCATCCCTCACTTCCTTCATCAATTCCACAACCCGATCGTATTTGTCCTGATGAATGGAATCCGTGATTCCATCCCAGAAAGCTTTTTCCATTGTTTGTCGTACCTTCACCATTGTCTGGTCCTCATCACTAGCATTCAAACTGTTGGCAGATGAATAGTGTTGCCCATGAACAAATTCATTCACAATCAACTCATTCTCCATGCTGACAGAATGATTGCTGGCACCAGAGGGGCCCACATCTTTTTGTAGTGGTTTGGAAGCATCATCTTGGAATAGGGAACGAACCACACGGCTAGGCTCTTCTTCACTTCTGTTTCTTTTGTCTGAGTCAGCATTGTATGGGGGTATATGTGGCACTGGTGAACCAACAGGGCTACCATTCTCCTTTGCTTCAAAGTATTTTGTTCGTGTATCAGAAAGAGCATTCCTCATGCGTTCTATTCCTGCATCTCCACTCAGGTGCATTACTCTTTCCCTCAATAGTTGCTGATCTTCTGTAACCTGCAACAAAGAGCAACATACTTTCATTCATTTATATTACAGCATTATAGAACTCAACTTCTTTATAAGGATTCAGGAAAGTAGTAGAACCTGTTTCTGAATAGCTTTCATATCATGTGTAAGATCAGCATTATCTCCTTCAGGTGTAAGTTTGCATTTTTGCATCATGGAAATTTCCATCTGGCATGCAGCCCTCACCAAATCCTCCTCTAAAGATTCAGCATCCTTCACCTTCCATACCACAAAGCTATTCAGATACGCACACCATGCAGAATCAAAAGCTTCAAGCTGCGATCTGAATGTGCTTCTAGTGTTTGATTCTTGATGTCTATCTAATATTATATTAATCAACAACTCGAATTCTTGGATAAATTTCTTTGCAGAATTGGCTAAAGCAGACTCACGCTCCCCTTGCCCACTAAAAACCGCATCAGGGTGACCAAGAATCATGTATGCACATAGGACTATTCTGACTTGGTACCTTGATAACTTAACTGGTGACTTGGGGGCAGCTCGGGCAGCCACTGGTTTCTTTGTGTGTCTACTCCGGGCAGCAGCAGCACTTCTGGGGGTGGTGTTTCTCCTGCTAGGTGAAGCTACACGTTTAAGAAGGTGATCAATGTCATCTTGACCATGGGAGTTGATGCCAGATGAAGTGCCTTTCATAGCTTTGTAACGAATCTCCAGCCTTTCAAGTAAAGATTTTGTAGTCTGGAGTGTAGAGGGTGTTTCAATAAGAAGTGCAAACTGCTCAAATGGCATCGACTTTACATGATCCTCATTGATGTTTAAAACAGAGTAACTTTTGACCAAGTCAAAGGTGGTCCCCTTTTTAAGAAATTTCCTCCAGCACCTTGCTAATTTTCTAGAAAGATTGTCAGCTTGATTCTGCATTTTCTTGGACCAATTTGCACCTATAGTATTGTGTAGCCTTGCTCTTTGCATTAGGTATTCTGCTCTCTGTCTCTTTGCCTGTAATATATCAGCCGGAAATAAGTTCATATTTGAGATGTAGAAAAAGAGTATCAAGGAAAAATAAAAGTAAAAAAGACGAGCATACCCTTTGTAGTTTATCTTCCAAAGTCTCCCTCAATCTCCTCCTCTCAATCTCTCGCTGCTGAGAGACCAACTTGGCTACCTTTCTTACTTGTAAAAGCCTAGCATGTGCTTTTTCCATGTCAGCTTCAAGTAATCCTAATCTTTTCTGTTCAGCAGCTGCCCTTTTTTGAGAAATAGCAGCACAAACACGCTCTTTATACTTACTCTCTCTTGCAATCCTTCTTATAAGAGATTCTGATGTCCTTTCCCTTAATGTGGCCCTTCTTTGTCTGTATGCTTTCAAGATTCTCATTCTGTTTGTTTCTGCTTGCCTTACTCTTAATTCCACTTTTGTACCAAGTTCTTGACATTCTTTCTTCACACGCACTTTTACTCCAGTTCTTGCTGCTTGCCTCAACTGATCAAGCTTTGCTAGACGCAACTGGGCTTTTGCCAAAATGCTAGACCTGATAATTTGAACAACAAAGAAATCAATTAATGATGATGACAAAATGTGCCAAATAGTAGGTATATAATTAGATAAGAACTAAAGTTCACATGGAACAACGTTGTATGGTACAGAACTTCTGTTAATAAATAAAAGAGATATGTCGCAATCAGAGGTCACCTTAGAAATTTTTTGGAAGTATGTGTTGGCTGGTTTGGTGTAATAAAGAAAAGATGAAATATTTTAATAAAAATTACCTCTTCTGTTCAGCAGCTAGGAGCTTCGCCTGAAGACGTTGACCAAGATTTTCCTCATATGCAGATTGTGGAGGACTCCTGGGCTTTGGCCTTGCTTTGCTTGATAAATGCTCATAAAATTTCTGCAGATGATCAAAAAGAGAAATTTAAGAACAACAGAAAGAGCCTCAAAGTCTAAGCAATCATCTTACCTAAAACATATAATCTCAAGAACAGATAAGATTAAAAACAAGAAATAATACAATTTTTGAGCGGTTAATTAGTTAAAATACAAGAATCTTGGTTTCCAATTGCTTAAAGGGTTAAACTGCAGAACTTAGAATCGTTTGATTCACCATTAGAAAAGATTCTGAAGCAACCACCTTACCTAACTCGAGGACAACCTACAACAACAAAGAGAAGCTTACAAAGCAAAAGAAATACAGTATGGAAAAAAGATGCTCACGTAATAAGATAGACTGGATTTTACTTCGTCATAAACTTGTCATAAAGATAATAATCTAGGATTTACTCGCTCCTAATCAGTAATTAGTGAACTTAAGCATATGTTTAGTCAGCGTAGTTCTCAAAAACATACTCCAAAGTTGGGTCTTTTTCTGTAATAAATAGTACAGAAAAAAAGGACGAAAAGAATTAGAAACTCGCAGATATTGAGACACTTGTTTACAACTACGTGATGATACCTTAAAATTTCCGTGAACTTTTCTCAGAAAACAAAAAAGCAAACAAGAAGAAGCCATGATCATTTGATGAATTGATCACGTATTTATGAAACTACACAAAGCAAGAGACCTAACCTGTCTACGAAGATCTGCATCCCGAAGCTTAGCTTCGATTTCTTCAACACTAGAAGGAGACGCCTTTGTTTCTGTTAGTCTTCGGCGAAGCCTAGGCGGTAAAATTGGAGGCGATGATAACCCTGCACCGTCGACGACCGGAAACTCCATCGCAACTCCGACGATCTCCGGTGAATTATCCACTCCAACCTCCATCGATGACTCTGATCAACAATTATTACAAATAAAATTGGATATAAACCCTTCACAACCGATCAATCACACTTTACTGCTTTAAGAACAAAGTTCAAAATGATTTAGGAATTGTATGTGGACGGATATAAATATTCTCTCGAATTGCACACGCGTTGTCTATGGAGCCGTATATATAATAATTATATAAATTCAGGACATGGATATATGTAGAGAGAGAGAGAGAAAGTAGAGAGAGAAATGAGAAAAGGAGATGACGATTCTGGAAACGGAGGGGTGATGTGAGGGGTTGAAGAGAGATTAAATTCAGAAATGTGATAAAACTTACATTTTCTTCCTTTTAGTACAGTTTTTCTCAGTTATAGTCCCTTAAGTAACTTTTTGTACATTATTGGTTCTTCATTTTTCTTCTTTATAATTCCTCTCCCTCCAACAAAACATACTTCATTTTCTTGAAAAAAATTTGAATTCAGCATTTTAATTATCTTAAGTACTCACATTACATGCAATATGATTTTCCAATAGTCATAATAAAAATCATTTCTATTTACTTAGCATCAATCGGCTCATTGATTTTGATTTTTGAAGGTTATGTGCAAATAAAATTGAGCCACTAAATCTAGTTCTTTTATAGCTAAATATATTTCTTTTATAGATAATCATTAATATTACGATAAGACGATAATTATTACAAAATTAATCAAAATAAATACTATCGTTAATTTGTCGCTAATACTAATGTACATAAAAAATTGTCGCTAATACGTCATTACTTCTCAATTTTGCATTACTTTTAACATTGTATTATTCTAAATAGATAAATAATATTTAGTGACTAAAAAATAATTTATTAATAAGGCAGAAGGAATATATATCTCCTATCTCTTCCAACTCACTTGTCGTATAGATGTTACATCATTTTTTTTTTCTTTTCCCTTTCATATTTCTTAAGACTATAGGGTGTGAGAGTTCTTTTGCCTGTGATGCTTTGCCGATGATAACACCATCTCGTAACCAATTTTGTTGCCGACGATATATTTTTGTTGTATGTGTCGCTCAATTGGAAGATAAACAAATGTTTGCAATGTTGTTTTTTATTGTTGTGTTATGTTGATTTTTTGTTTAAACATTTTATGTTCTTTTCTTCTCATCAAGCGTGTAATAAGAAAATTAAATGGTTTATATCCTTATTGTAACTTGCTATTTCAATAATCAAAATAAATATAATATATTAAGAAAAGGATAACCATAAATTTATGTATTTTGAAAGTTTTTATTTATATAAATTTCTAATGTAGTTTTCAATCTTTTGATTAATAACTTTAAGTTTTATTTAAATTAATATTAACGGTTTTTATTAAATGTTAATATTTCTTTAATTTGAGAAAAAAAAATGGTAAGCAAGGATGACGCTATATCGGCATATCCTACTTATATATTAAAATTGGCAAATGATGATGTGTGATTATGTGCCATCAAATTTTGGTAGGTAATGATGACATCCTATCCTTTAGCCTAGGGATGTAAACGGATTTGGGACGGCCCGAAAGAACCGAAAACCAATTAAGGAGTGAATGGAGAATTGAGAACCGGATCGAATACCACTAATTAGTTCTGGTTCAGTTTTACTAGGAAGTGTGCTATTCAAGAAGTTGTTTGATACTGGAACCGGACCGAAACCGAAAAGACCGAAATGATGAATGGGGGAACTGGACCGAATATCATTGATCGGTTCCAACCGGTTCCGATTCTAGTTTGGTTTTTCGGTTAAAAAAATTCATCCTTACTTTAGCCTAAAAAATTCATCTTTCTAAACCCTCCAAACTCACTCCTTAATTTACAGTATTAAAGCCAAATATACAAGTTAAGAAAGAAAAAGTTGAGTGAGTCAATGAAGCCGCTCTTTACCACCATTCTAAACCCACTCAAGGAGCGGAGCCGTGAGCTTAGAGGTACCTTCGGTACACATCTTGTTTTTCACCCCCATTTCGCCCTTTTAAGGGTGTGTTTCACAAAAAAGCTTATTGTTTATTAGCTTATTAATTTATAAGCTAATAAGTTAGAGTGAAGTAACTTATGAAAAAAAATGATTTATTAGAGGTTTCTCACAATTATAAACTATTTTTATCCAAACATTTTTTTAGTTTATAGCGGTATCAAATATGGAACCGCTAATAAGCAAATAAACTCCTTTGCCAAACACTTTCCTAAAATATGAGTTTTTTCAATAAATTTTTTAGTATCGTATGTAACATCCATAAAATTTATGAAAAAATTTAACTTTTTAAACAACCCAAAAATCATCATTGTTTACAAAATTGTTTTCAAAACATGTCTAATATCAGAGTTTGCCTCAAAATCACAAAAAACCAAACACGAGGAGGTGCACGATCACACATTTACCTTCCCGCGATCCTCTGAAGTACCTGAAAAATAATCCAAAACTGTAAGTCCAAAGCTTAGTGAGTTTCCCCCAAAGTACCAACACAACACATAAGAATAACAACAAACAACATGGATATAGAACCTTCAGCATGACTGGACCGCCTCACTGGGCCTTCAGCCTATCTGGACCATTCTCTGGGCCTTCGGCCTGACTGTTCCACCTCACGGGCCTTTAGTCTATCCAAGCCGCCCTGGGTATGTTGGCCTTCAGCACAAAGCATGACCGCCTCAACCCAACCACACATACACCGTGTCGACATATATATACATAACAGACAATCATGCAAATAAACAACCAATAATAATCAGACAAATCTCACAGATCACTAAGCACAACATCATCCTATCTACCATGATACAGATAAAGCAGATCACTACAATACTCGATCATACGATAAACCAAACAATCCGAAGGGCTGACATTGGTGCCTTCGACCCGAAAGTACAGTGAAGGCAACTCACCTTGCAAACTGAACATAAGATGATAAGGTCTCGACTCATAATCTCAACTCTCTAACTGACACATATTCCCACAAATTTACCAATTCCATCAAAATCCCAAAATACCCAAAGTACCTTTAAGGCCAAACTTAACCAAACAGTCAAAAGGTCAAGAAAAGTCAACTCAGCTTGATCGCCACATCGTGGTACCCTTGTACCACATCGTGGTGTCGGATACGACAAAAACAGTCGCGAACCACCCCGCCACCACGTCGTTATTACAGGGTTTTTAGCAACTTAATGCATTCAACTACTTCCTTCGATTCCAAAAGGTCTCCAACTCAGATCTGGTCCAAAATAGGGTCTAAATGGATAAAGTTTCCAACTTTATCCAATAAAACCATCCAAAATGTGTAGATCTTAACTTTTAAGATCCAAACACTTCATGACTTCACCAATAATCATCCAATTCATGAGGTTACTTGACCAAAAGCTACAAGAGAGTCTCTAACTCCAAACACACCATAAAAGTCGGTGCTTTTCAGACATGCATGTCCAATGCATGTGTTAAACTCTTATTAGGTCAAAATAGGGCAAAAATGCCAAGATTCCATGCATGGCCCTCAAAATTCAATTCTAGACTAGGTCCAAAGAGCCAAATGCTCCAAATGGCCTGGAGACTCATAAACTTGCAAGCTTTATGAAGTTCAACCACCCAAGGCAACAAGACATAGAGAAAAAAGGGGAACATCCATAGATCTAATCATAAACTCTTCAAGATGAATAATTTATACCTCCTTGAGATGCTAGAAGAAGGTAAACTCATGGATCTTCTTTGCCTTGGACTCTCAATGAGGTCTTCCACCACCTTTTTCCTTCACAAGCACCAAAAACCCACACTTTTAAGGCTAAAACTCACAAAATGGCTCTAGGGTTTGCAAGGGACGATTTGGAGAGATGGAGGCTGATGGGAGGGGGCTAGAAGGGGCTAATGATCTTTAAATATGGCTCAACCCATTAAACTTTAGAGTTTTCCCCAACAGCCACCACCACGTCGTGGTGGTTCATTAAACCCCGCGACCCAAAACCCATCGCCATGTCGTGGTGAGGCTTCACCACGTCGTGGCCTCCAAAGAAGATTATCATACATACTCGAAAATAATTTCATACTTGGAACCGGGTGTTACATCGTATCAACAAATAGAGAAAAGTTTAACAAACGTCCGCAATATAGGATTTCCTTTCACAAAGGGAACTGATTTGTACACGACAAATTTTTTCCACACACACCAATTTGTGCATTAAAGTATTGTATTGTACAACACCATAAAACATAAATTATTGTGTATGAAGAAAAATTGTTGTGTACGAATCACTTTTTTTCACAAAACTTACTTACAAAGTCTATTAATATCAAAATATAAAACAAATGAATCAAATAATATTTAAAATACGGAACATCTCTGTTCATTAACTTCTAAACTTAAAAACAATGTGAAAAAGTTTTTGAATTAAAAAGTTATCGAAATAGCTTTTTTTTTGACTTTCAATAGCTTACTTATCTAATAACTTCTACTGAAAAACATATATTGTGGACGCTATTTAATGAAAGAAAATTCGAATCATTAAAATTTAAAAGCCAAAAAAAAAAATAAATAAATAAATAAATAAACACAAAAATAAAAACTACATTTTTCATATCCTTATTTTCTTCGATGCCTACGACCCTACGTGACTGTGATCTTTTTTCTATATGTTTGTACATCTCTAATTTGTTTTCTTGTAACTTTAATAATCGACTTTTCTTTGTTATGAGTATTGATTTAAAAAAAATGTTAGACACGTTTTATAACTTAATAAGCTTTTTGCCATTAAAGTTAGTATAGGAAAGCTAACTGATCAATTACCTTGAAATAATTAAAATGTAGGCTTCAACCTCTCACCTGGTGAGTGAAATTTTTTTATTTCATTAAAATACATAACTTCATTTTTGTCAGAGTCTAATTGTTTAAATCATCTACTTTATTAAATATCAGGGATTTATGCCGGATAATTTGATTAAAACTAAGTGGAGATTGGAGAACTTTAGGATTAAATTAATGCGCTTTCTTATCAAAATTTCCATCATCCAAAAAGCTAATGTTACAAAAATTAGGTCAGGGGTTATACCTTATAATAAAAACATAAACAAGGGACTTCAAAAGTAATTTGGTCACTGAAGAGTTGTGG